GGGGGGTGGGGGTGGTTCCATCGTCGTCCCCACCCCGTCTCTAGAGCCTTCTCCACTTTTCCAAATGGTGGGCGGGGCGACGCCATTTTGAAAAAAGTCGAGGAGCAGACCTTGGGGACGAGGTTTTGGGGTCGTTCGTTTGGGAATTTAGGCAGCGAGTTGTACGATTTGCAAACTTCCAATTTACATACATGCATACATACATAATTTATTCCAGATGCAAACCAGATATACAAATAAAAATTAAAAATAGAAAAAAAAGAAAGATGCATCTAGAAAAGGGAGTTAAGAGGTTATCCCTATGTGAAAATTCCCTTAAAAAATGCAATAAAATTAAAATTAAGATCCTTAATTACAATTTAAGTGCAATTTGAGCTTAGATTTAGATGTAAACCGCTGAAAGTTATCGATCGTTATCAGCTTCAACTACACCTCTTGTTAATTCATTCCATAATTTAACAATCCTAATGAAAAATGAATGTTTGTAACAATATTAAGTCTTGCGGCTTTGACCGAAAGTTTGTACTGACGATTAGCTCACGCAGACGGAGTTGTGGCGAAATCAAAAAAGTCTTCAAATTTCAAATGGTAAAAACCAAAAACTATCTTATAACACGCAACTACAGTCGAACAGAGTAGGCCACGAATTTACATCAAAGTTTTTGAAATTCTGTTAGTTTTTTTCGTCCCATAAAGATCAGAGTTGGGTCTTTTCCTAACCGAAGAAAACGACGTTTTGACCTGGTACAGCAATGCGCCCTTTAGCAGTGGTTGTAATTCCTGTTACGAAACGGCATCCCTTTGTTTTGAACTGGATGCGGCGAACAAATTGACCATCTTCGGTGTACATTGAGACTTCAGTACTCGTTTGTGACTGCAGTGAAGCAACGAGCACGGTTTTGCTTGCCTTGTGAAATGTGACAGCAACTCCACTATCATCAGCTGTAGATCCCTTAACTGCAAACATATCAAGTAACTGTCCTTCGTTACTGAACACCAGAACAAGTGGAGATTTTTCCCCGTTCAACACTACCACTCGGTCTGTATTGGCGATAGTGATATCTTGTGCATTTTTCAAATGCTCGTTTCCAAAGCTATGCATAAATACTCCGCCTGTATTGTATACTGCTATCACATCATTGTGGCAATCTGAAAACGCACCTCCCGTGACAAACACTCGCTTGTTGTCGTCCACTGCAATAGACGAGCCTCTAAAACCTTCTCTTAAAGCGAACTTGTGCTTTGGGTGTCCATCCTTGTTGAATACATGCACTTCGCTCAAATTAGCCATTGGGAAATCGTTTCTTCTCAGTGTCAACATATACAGGTCATCGTTGCCGTCGGTGGCGACATTCCAGACTTCGTAATCATCTTTAGACTGCAAATCTTCGGCAAAAGGATAGAGTGAGTGGATAAACCTGCCGCTGCCATCGAATACTTTTACGTTGCTATCAACACTGTCTGCTACAATGAAATCGCCTCGCGCGTTTGACGTTATACCCCAAGCAAACTTTAGCTTGTGTTCCTCTTCGCCCTCCTGGCCGAACGACCATGTCAAACAACAGTGCTCTATCCGTGCATTGTGCAAAGGATCAATTTTCGCGCCATTTCTGACAGTAACACAAGGCCAGTTGAGAAGCTCTCCAAAGCCATGACCAAACTGTTGCGTGACATCGCAGATAACGCTGTTTATGTCACAGACTTCCTTCTCCAGTTGCAGCTGGATGTCTGTATCGCTTCTTTTTCTGCTAAAATTTTCCTCTACAGCTGGCATGGAGTTCAGCTCCTCAAGGCATAATTTGCACGCAACTAAGGCTTCGGCAGGGTGGTCCACTTTCTCCAACAAAGTCGCTGCTACACGACATCGCATGGCAAAAATGCGTTCACTCGTGCTAAGAGCTTCATTGCAAAAGGCTTTCGTCGCTTTCCTACGAGCGTCTTTAAATCTTTCCTTCGCATCAGACAGCATCCTAATGGACGAGTCATCTAAGTCCGGTTTTAAGGCCTTAATGAGAGATATTGCCTCTAGCCAAGCTGCCGATGGCGTCTCACTTCCGGGTGTAGACGCTTCCCCTATCGTTGGTAGACGAGCGTTTATGCCAGTCACCGATGCCTCGTGAAATACTTGGCACAGATACACAAATCCTTCGTTAAAAAAGCTGATACTTGCAAGGAGATCCTTCCTTGCAATTCCGTCGAGATTCGACTTGGCAACGGTGATTCCTTGCTCGATCGCGGCGATCAGTTGTCGTTTTTTATTTTCACCGGGCCTTTCTAGCACTGCCTTGGCTGTTTGAGAAACTACACATCCAACACCTGCTTTTAACAGAGCATTTCCGATCGAATGCATGGCACCAACTGAACGTTCAACGTACTAGGATCTTTAGAGGCGGGTGGGAAAATAAAAGCGAAAGTCATCTACTCGTCCTAGTGTCTCGTGACCGGAAGGGCCTTGGCATCGGTCCAAACGGGAACGGCGCAAGAAGCAAGAATCAACAGGACGTCAAATTAATTCATGAAAGGTCTTGTTTTTACAGTTTTATTTGACCTTAATCGTTTTAAATATCGATGGAAATCAGGTTCTCTGCGCTAGAGATAATCTTGTAAAATTCTGCTATAGGAGAAAACAGTAGGTCACGGCAATACTATCAAAGTATCAAACTTTCTTGAGTGTTTGCGTTTGGCTTTGTAAACAAACAAGAAACAGCCGTTTTCTGATTTAGATTCCTAGGCTCTCTCATAGGCGAGAGAACCTGGGATCGAGGGTGGGGAGAGAATGGGGAAATTCCTTCAAATACCATAAATAATCCAATTAGCACCCGAGGTGCTTATTTCAAACTTTTTTAAAGACACGGGGGCGCACATTCAAAGGAGGCGTTTAACTGAGGGGGTGGAGGAGCTTACTCGATGGGTTCCTAATATTTTTCAAATCGTGGCCAGATATTATCGTTTCTTGTAATATATCATTTACGTGAAACAAGAACATACGCTGTGTACAAGTGAATGTATGAAAGATAATATATTT